ATACTTGAATGCCGAGTATGAAATGTTATTAAAAAACAAAGTTTCTGTATAATTTTCCAGCCCGGGCCAGGTGCCGGTGTCACACATTTTCAATCAGTGTCTTACGGTTCTGTCCGCAGCAGTTGGGCCAAATAAAGTTCTATCATGTTACATTTATTTACTTTATTAATACTAATTGACCGTTTTGAATGAAAACAAAAGAAAATATATTTTTTTCTTTCATTCTATTTTATTACCAATATTTAATATAATTTAAAGACCAAGTTTTTTTTTTTTTTTTAACTTTGTTTATGTCTAATTGTGGCTTCCCTGCTCAGGTTAGCTGATGAATCTTCTACACGTGTAAGTAAAGTTCTTTTAGTACCTTCTGCACATATGCGTGCAATTTAGTTATTATCCTAAATATTTGTTAACTTGCACAAAAAAAAAAAAAATTCAATGACAAAAATGCAGTATTGTAAGCAGAATATGTGAAATACCAGCCCCAGGATAATTCAGAATATTTAAACCCTGTGTCATCTGTGCTGCCCTCTGAAACAGCATTTCCCTTTATTATTCACTTGTTCAGGTTTATAAACTGCCGTTTACAGTAAAACCCAACCGTTCCTAGGGGGCGCCATATTTTCCTGTATACAATCTAAGTTTGTTTGTGCCAACACTCCTGCAATTACTTTTCCTTGCCAAATCTTCATTTTCTACTTCCTAAAAGCTTTCAAATGAAGAGCTCCTGGCAGAAGGAAAGTACAAATTATGATGAAAATGTTTTATGAGGACTGGACTTGTCCTATACCACCAAAAAAAGTGTGTGAAAGACACCCAATGACTTACAAGTCATCAGAGGGGGGTCAGTGCCTGCTCGTACAGGACACTACGGAGACAACATCTGTATCCCCTGGCTCAGGACCCTGTGCGGCCTGATGCTGGACAAGAAGTAAATGTGTATTTCTGCATAAAGAGCATGCATGTCAGTACTAACCCATCACAAATCATTATTTCTAAATGTGTAAAAAAAAAAAAGTTCCAAGCAATCCAGATTTTGTATGCGGCCGGATATAGTAAAAGATCATCAATCCAACGTATCAAGATGAGGCTATATTCACACCGTCCTCCTGTAATTAGTTAAAATGACCCGGGAAGTAACTTTATGCTTCCCAGTTCTATGTGTTTATCAGCATTTAGCTACATTCAGAGTATCTAATCTACCCCTGGATGGAGAATTCTATTGTTTGTAGACACAGGTGAAATATACCATTTACAATCATGATATGCGTTTGTGTGTTTACAAATCTTCTATATTCACATGTATGTCATTGCCAGTGTGAATGAGGCCTTAGACTGGGCTGGATGTATTGAATGTCTGTGATCTCTGCAGGTTCCTCCTACATGACTAATATCAAGGAAATGATTGTCTGATATGGACTTCCCCCTGGAGTAAGGGCAGCATTGTAGGGGGTGTTCAGATCATAAACATGTCCACTCCCCACAAACACGTTTATGTCCCAATCATACAACAGTCAGACCTTCTGAGCAGCAGCTCAAGCCTGCAGGTAGCCTAACTTCATGTCCTAATCTGTGACCCTAATCATCCATTTACATAAAGCAATAATACATGCATACAGGTCTCATTTGTGGTTTGACGCAAGGAATACACAAGCACATTTTTTTTCTTCTCTCTCGGGTGTGGTGTATAGAAAACTGTTAGTAAAGTGTAAACAATGCATGTACCTAAGGCAACCTAAAATCTCTGCACGACAACGTGATGCACATTTTCTCTCTCCCACCTGTAACAGAGCCACCATCCCGCCAGTGTGTTGTATGTCGTTTATTCCAGCCTCAGGCCCTGACAACCTGTAAACACCAGGCTGACCTTAAACTGACACTTGTCTGGATACATTATAATCAAGTTTTCCATCACAACTTCACAACCACCTCTGTGTCTCAAGACAGCAAACCTTTAAACATTGTAGGGAAAATGACCAGACTGCAGTAATCTATAGCAACAAGTAACGTGAAGAGATGCTATTGGACTAAACAGGTCTATCATCTCTCCCATTTGATAACACTGGGCACTATGTAGGGCTGTTTATATCAATTACAACTTTCACTGTTTGACCTGAGAAGGATGCATGTAATTGGTTCCTACGGGCAATACAGTCACTTTTCTTTGTTTCTATATATTGCAATGTATTAGTTTAGTACTTTCTAACCTATACCTTACCACTGCTCACCTTTATGTCTACCCCCTGCACTCCCCCGCATTCAGCATGGCATCAGACACTTCAGTAATGACAAAGCATATTGTGCCACATCACGTTAGATGTTGTAACACGTTACGCAAATTTGCTAGATTTCGGACACTGCACAGAAATATACATTATACATATCAAGCATTGTCAAACTTGATACATATAAAACTTGCCACATTCCTACACCCTGATAATAGAAACATTAACATTCACCACAGAGTAATAAAAATAATATGACATAGAGCACAAATACCAGAATGATGTATAATTTGTCCTTACCAAAGCTCTGACAATGTAAAAGGCAGTGTAACATTTTTTTTTTTTTTAATCAGTTTCTCTTGTTGCACACTAGTTACTACACACGGGGCTGATCTCTCCCTGAAATAAGTGCAAGTGAATGTTTCTTTTCCTCTGTTTGTTACAGTTGAAGAGGAGGCTTTTGAGGTCTCAATCACTATAGAATCAGAGAGAGGCAGGGGGGTATGCTAATGTGCCAACGGTCTGAGACAAATAGAAAATGTTTACACACCAAGGCAGCACTCAGTGGTGATCCTGCTATATAGATGGATCCAGAGAACGGTGTGCTACCCACATTAACCCAATCCTGCCGGCTACATCCTCCAACTATATTGTGATTAAAACCCTGAAACAGGAAAACTGGTTCTTGCGGAATGAACAATATTTTGCAGTACACATTTCGTTGCTCTGTATCTTACTTTTCTATACATTATGCAGCTAGATTGGAGCAATCCACATCGGGTTGTCATGTCCAACCACAATGGTGTGAAGATCGGTGTGATGTCATAAGACATTACAGATTGCTCCTGACTCCTCCCAGCCTCGGGGGAAATTAGACTAAAAGAGGCTAATGCAAAACAGTCTCTATTTTTTTTCTTTTACATGACAATGTTAGCAAAATTTATTTTCAAACTCTTCTAATCTTTGGTACACAAGCATTTAATTTGCATAACCCAGCCCTCTCGTAAAGCACAAGGAAAAAAAAACCTCAGCACTCGTTTAATTAAAAAATGTAAATTTGCTGTCATCTTGGGGCCTGGTGAGTTAGGGACGACGGTAGCATCTTTTACTGCTGACTGATGCACGGAATATGTGTTCAGTAAAGTAAAATGAGGAGAGAAGGGCCAGGCGTGGACTCAGGTCAAGGATGCCACAAACGTCATTCAAGCCACAGTGTGTACTGAACGCCCCAGACTCAGGATTATCATACAATTAAGTCATTATATATTATAACAGAGTCATTAGTTATATATATTATATATATATAGTGTGACCTTCAACATTTCTAGTAACTTTAACATGAATATTTACAAACAGAGAGCTTCCAAAACAGAAAAGAAAGTCCTTTAAAAGTTTGTAAACAATGTATACAATCCCGAACGATGAAGACAAAGTCACGGAGAAGAGAAGTATTCCGGCCCCAACTTGTTGCACTCGGTACACACCTGATTGGTAGCTGGGAATTGAGCAGTTAGAGAAAGTGTCCAATCATGAAGGGAGCAGAGTGATAAATGGAAAAGATAATTTTTAGGTTATTTTGTGCTAGGTGTGACTTAGGAATGATATAGTAAGGGGAGTACAATGTATATAAAAAAAAGGAGTTGTGTACAGCAAGACGGGTCTGTGTAACAAGCAGCAGAGACTCTTTCATCCCCGTTTTTGTCTTAATGTTGAAACAGAACGATCTCCAGGGTGTGATCACAGTCACCACGGAAACCCCTCAGCCATGTGCTGCAACCGTTTCTAGACAATGCCTGCAAGGTTCAACTGCCACTGACTGCCCCGTCTGCTGATCCCTGCCATCTACAGACCTGCCGCACACCTGGACCACCTAGTAAACATACCGAGAGAGAGAGAAGACTAAATGAGAAACCAAAAGGCGTCCCTCCCAAAATATCATTAAACTGTAATGACCACCTCCTCATCACAGACACTACCTTGTCCCAAATTAATGACATTCCTTTTGGGTTAGACAGACATTTGCACATGAAACCTGAAGTACCAGAACGTGTGATGAAAGGAACATTATCTCGCCTATCCTCCTCTCCTTCTTCCCGGGGAGAGGTGCACCATGGAGCCCCCCGGCAGCTGCCATCTACACCCCTGCCATTTGTTACCACAACTGCTCTGAAGCAAAGTTACACACGCTGACAATAAAAAGTATGAACCTGTTCACAACACGCAGAAGTGGGACAAAGCTGTGAAATTCAGGAAGATTGAGCCATAACTCGGCATCTCACCTCGGCAGAATGGGATGAACAACAGAGAGCAGAGTTTCAGTTTACGCAAACACAACAAAAACGTACAAAAAAAAACCCCCCAAGACATTCATCTGGCCGCCTGCGATCACCTCCTGTGAACTATTGTAATCTTTAAACAAACACAACCAGAGCTCTACTGTAATCACCGGAGTAGCTGAGACTGGATCGTACAGACCCCGGACTGTCAACTTCACATTGACTCTCCATAATGCCAACACTTCTGTGACTGGCATGAAAGTTTGGTGAGTGAGCAGCAGTGCCCGTCTATTACAGAGGCGAAGGCTGCCTCTGAGCTCATTACTATATAAAGCTAAACAGAAACTGTCGGCAAACAATAGCTCGAGTCAGATTGAAACGACACCAGCGAGTCAGGAAGAAACACAATATGAACAGACAGAGAAAAGAGGCTTTATTCAAAACTTCACGCACACACACTTCAGGATAAAGAGAGATTGGCAAGTGCCGGGGTACTCACCATAGTCAGAGAATCCAAAGCTGAATTCACTTAAATAATCAACTTTCATAATACTTAATTAAAATCTTAATTGAGGCAGATTTGCTTTCCCGGATCACAAGTTGTTTGACTGATGTCACTGTGCGTGTCTGTGGGAGCTCTGTCAGCGGAGCAGGCGGGCAAACTAGGATTGGCACAGCAGAGATGGCAACGCCTCCTCCTGGCCTTACCAACTGGCTACAGGGCAGGTGAAAGATCAGAGAGTGTCCCAGCCCCTCTCCCTGTGTGTGTATGCTTCTCTCTGAACAGCGCTGCCTCAGAGGTAGATGAGGAGTGAATGAGCTCCCAGGATAGAGTTTGCAAGCAGAGAAAAAAAAAAAAAAAAGCCTCCACACACCCCAACACACAAAGAAAACCCCACACACAA